CGAGCAGTTCATGCTGCTGGCCCTGGTGGTGCTGATCAACATGGTCATCGTCAGCGTGCTGTCCCCCTACGTCCTGCTCATCGGCATCGTCCTGTTCGCCACCTGCCTCCTCTACTTCGTGTGAGTGGGTCTCTCTGCCCGCGGGGGGCGGGCGGGCGGGTGGCCTCCGAGGGGCTGGGACCCGCCTGGACGGGGGCGGCCGGGCACCCTCTCCTCCTCCTCGGCGGCGGGGGAAGTTCAAGCGGGCCATGAACGTGTTCAAGAGGCTGGATAGCTACAGCCGCTCCCCCCTCTTCTCCCACATCCTCACCGCGCTGCGCGGGCTCAGCTCCATCCACGTCTACGGGACAGCCGAGGACTTTGTCCGCCAGTGAGTGCCCTGAGCCCAGCGATGGCGGGGCCCTGGGGCAGGAAGGGGGGGCTGGGGGGGGCGGGAGCAGGGTGCTGGGCACCAGGGGAACACGCCTCACTCCGCTCACTGGGGAGCCCCAGAGCCTCCTCTGTAAGGCGATCCCCTGGGGACAGAGTGGAGGCGACACAGGAAATGCAGACCTGGGGCCGTGGCCAGGGCACCCACCTGCTACTGCAGTTCACAGTAAGAAGCGTCCCGGGCCCTAACCGGTTTGGCTCAGTGGATAGAGCGTCGGCCTGCGGACTGAAGGGTCTCAGGTTCAATTCTGGTCAAGGGCATGTGCCTTGGTTGCGGGCACATAGCCAGTGGGGTGTGTGCAGGAGGCAGCTGATCGATGTCTCTCTCTCATCCATGTTTCTAACTCTCTATCCCTCTCCCTTCCTCTCTGTAAAAAATCAATAAAATATATTTTAAAAAAAAAAAGAAGCGTCCTGGGCCAGCAATTTTTCATTAGTTTTTTTTACGTTATTTATTTATTTTTTGAAATATATTTTTATTGATGTCAGAGAGGAAGGGAGAGGAAGAGAGAGATAGAAACATCAATGATGAGAGAGAACTGTGGATCGGCTGCCTCCTGCACGCCTCCCACTGGGGATGGAGCCCACAACCCGGGCCTGTGCCCTGACCGGGAATTGAACACTGACCTCCTGGGTCCTAGGGGGACGCTCAGCCTCTGAGCCACACCAGCCGGCCGGGCAGTTGTTTTTTCTTTCCCTTCCAAACAGGCATCTAATTTTCATAAAATGAGGACCAGGAACTTTCTAAGTAACAGGTTTTCTTTTAGTACATTCACACCCATAGGTGTACCTTCTGTATGTTTGTTAAAACAAGCAAAACTTAATTGTGTCCTAGGACCTTAGCGACTTGTCAGGGCCAAACAGGGATGGACAAGAAGCTCGTAGTCTGGTGGAAGACGGAGACACAGAAATATGACATGTTTGTGTAACAGTCCGGGTGGGAGGTGACAAGCGGCATGGGAGAGGAGCCGATAAAAGGCCAGCAGAGTTCAGGGAGGGATCCCGGAAGGCTCTCTGGAGGAGGTGGCGTCTGAGCTGGCCTCGGAGCCTGGTCAGACGGGGCGTGGGAGACGGTGTGTGTTCATTAGCTGGAATGTGGATGAACCCGGCACCAGCTCTCCCGTGGCCCTGGAGAGCCCCTGAGGACAGTGCGGACAGTAGGGCTGCGGGGTCCGGGAGCGATGCTGGCACGCAGTCAGCACTGAGAGCCCGTCGATGCTCAGCACCCACAGGGGACACAGCCCCCGGGCAGAGGTGCAGAGGGAGGCATCACCGCCTCCACCCGCTCACACATTTATTTATTCACTGTCCTTGGCCCAGTGAAGGTCGCGAGCAGGGGTAGGTGGTGGGCCTGAGGGGCTCAGGGCCTAGATCGGGGGTCTGGTCAACTCCATGGCTGAGAAAGGAGGGCGGGGGGAATCCCCCAGAGAGAAGTCAGGTTGTGCCCTGGCTGGCGTGCTCGGAGGTTCGAGCGTTGGCCCATGCGCCCAAGGGTGGCCAGTTCAGGTCCCGGTCAGGAGCACGCACCTGGGTTGCAGGTTTGATCCCGGCACTGGTCGGGGTGCGCGCAGGAGGCAACCAATCGATGTGTCTCTCTCACATCGCTGTTCCTCTCTCTCCCTCCCCTTCCTCCTCCTTCACTCTGAAAAGCAATGAAAACAATACCTGCGGGTGAGGGTAGGCGACAAAAAAAGGGAGGTCAGGCTGTGTTGGTGGGTGGGAGCGGCGGCCGAGGGGTGACCTTGGGAAGCCCTTGGACAGACCAACACAGTGGCTCTGCGTGTCCCTTCCCTCGAGGTTTAACAGGCTGAACGACCTGCAGAATAACTACCAGCTGATGTTCCTGTTCTCCACGCGCTGGGTGTCGCTGAGGATGGAGCTTATGGCCAACCTGGTGACCCTGGCCGTGGCCTTGTTCGTGGCCCTCGGGATGTCCTCGGCCTCCCACTCCTTCCAAGCCTTGACCATCAGCCTCATCCTGCAGGTGAGGGGCGGGACAGGGGGCTCGGTGTGGTGAGTATGGGCAGGCCCGGGGGGCCTGTGGGACGGTGGTTCCGCCTGGGACTTGGCCACGGGTGACCACGTGACGTGAGCCACGTGCTGGGCTTTCTGGATCCGCTGCTCCGCTTCCTTGGCCCCTCTGAGCGGGACGCCTGCATGAAAGACCACCCGAGGCGGAGGACGGAGGAATTGAAGGCGAGCGGACGGCAGGGCCCAGCCTCTACGCGCGGGTGGGGAAACTGAGGCCCAGAGAGGAGGAGGGGTTGTTCGAATGGACAGAGCGTTAGAAGCAGAGCCAGGCCAAGGACGCTGGCCTCTCGGTTGCCTGGCTGGTGTCGCTTCACGTTGCTGTCGTACGCTGACCCAGCTGTCACTCTCCCGAGTGATGTGGGGAGGCGGTTGGAGAGGGAGGGGTCCCCGCTCCTGCAGGCTTCCTCAGCCCGCTGACCCCGCTCCAGAGCACGGGGTCTGGGGATCTAGCTTGAATCAGGGTGTCTAGGGGGTCCTGATGGGCTGTCAGCATCCCTCCCGGGCTCAGGGGGAAGGGACGGCTGGTCAGGCTCACGGCCAGACGCCTGCGGGAGGCGGACTCGAAGGAACGCTGGCTGCTGGCCCGGGCGCCCCTCCCCGCGGTTCGTGGACCGTCCTCTGTGCTCGCGTGGCTTTGTCTCTCGCTGGTTCAGAGCTGTGCGCCCAAGGCTGACGCCTCCTCCGGGTAAGTAGAGGGCCCCGTGGGCTCCTCGGTGAGCCCCGCAGTGGGCACGCACCCGCACACACACCGCCCTCATCCGGGCCTGTGTGCAGAACCGGCCCCGGTGCGCGGGCCACGCGGATGGCTGTGTGGTGCTCCCGCTCAGCGGGCCGGTGAGACCACAGAGGGATTTACTGGGAGCTGGGCCTGGGCCGGTGCTGAGCCAGGCGCTTGCTGGGCTTTGCTCCACTGCGTTCCTGCCACGCCCCGTGGGGCACAGCAGTGATTAGGAATGTGTGGTCGGGCCTGGCCAGTGTAGTCCAGTGGTTGAGCATTGACCTAGGACAGTGATGGTGAACCTATGACACATGTGTCAGAGGTGACATGCGAACTCATTTTTTTTGGTTGATTTTTCTTTGTTAAATGGCATTTAAATATATAAAATAAATATTAAAAATATAAGTCTTTGTTTTACTATGGTTGCAAAGATAAAAAAATTTCTGTATGTGACACGGCACCAGAGTTAAGTTAGGGTTTTTCAAAATGCTGACACGCCGAGCTCAAAAGGTCGCCATCACTGACCTAGGAGGTTAGGGTTCGACTCTCCGGTCAGGGCACAGGCCCAGGTTGCGGGCTTGATTCTCAGCAGGAGGCGTGCAGGAGGCAGCCGATCGATGATTCTCTCTCATCATTGATGTTTCTGTCTCTCCCTCTCCCTTCCTCTCTGAAATCAATAAAACATCTGAAAAAATAAGAAAGAACGTGTGGTCAGGATGCGTGAGTCGCCCGGGCTCTGCCACGCCAGCGGTGTGACTCTGGGCCGGTCCGTGACCGCCTGTGCCAGGACTGTGTCTGTACCGGGAGGCAATGCAGCGTGGACGTGGGAGGCGCGTGTGTGAACGTGGGGGTCAGTGCATGTTAGACATGCGGAATCAACACCAGATAAACTGCGGCCCTCCCGGACCCGCTGCGAGAGGAACCGAGAGCTTGGAGCGCTCCTGCTCCCACAGCGGGTCGCCCAACTGCCGGTCTCCTCCCTTCCAGCTGTCGTCCAACTTCCAGGCCACGACGCGCGTGGGCTCGGAGACGGAGGCCTACTTCACGGCGGTGGAGCGGATGCTGCAGTACATGAAGGTGGGCGCGGGCCCGGGTCCTGCGAGCCGGGCTCCCCTGGAGGTCTCTGCCTGTCCCCGGGGCCCCGAGGCTTTCCCGGGAGGCCCCTGGGGCCCGGGCCTCCCGCCCGCCCTCCCCTCCGCCCTCCGTGTCTCCTCTCTGAGGCTCCTCCACTCCTGGCGGCTCATGTCCTCAGGCCTCTCTGCGGGCCATTGTCCTGGGTGTGGAGGGAGTGAGCTTCCCCTCGTAGAAATGGGAGCTTGCCCCGTCGGAGAGCAGGGACGACAGCGCGGCCTGGCGTCCGACCGCGTCTGTTTGTGCCGCAGCAGCTGGGCGCAGGCTTGGGGGCCAGATCACCCGGGTTCAAGTCTAAGCTTGGCCACGGAATCGGCTGTGCAGCCTCTGACATGGGTCGGGTCACAGTAGCTCCCCGGCTGGTGGTTACAGACATTAACGCATGGACACAGGCAGCTCCTGGCCGGGCCCGGCCCCAGGAAAGGCTCGATGTTACGATACACAGATGATCTCACGAGTCACGCAGCCCGCATGAGGCCGTTGCGTTCTTGGGCCCGTTACCCGGAGGAGGACACGGAGGCTCGGCCGGCTGAGCACTTGCTCGCGGTGACACAGCCGGGCCGTCGGAGCCCTCCGAGGCCGGGACCCCTGCCTGTTCCGTGAACGGAATTCGTGAGCCGCACAGCTGGGTCTCACCCCGAGGGGCGCTGTGGTGACACCATGCGGGCAGCCGGGCGCTGTGGCTTGCAGCTGCGACCCTGCGTCTTCTTCATCGCTGTTTCCACCCAACAGGCCCGCTGTGCTTGGTGTGGCATCGGGCGCGTGGCTCAGGCAGCCTGGGCTGGAGTCCGCGCCGTCCCCCCACCAGCTGTGCTATAGCGAGCCAGTCCTTGGCGCTGTCTGAGCCTGTGAAACGCGTGTGACAAAGCCCAGCTCACAGGGCGAGGACAGGGAGCCCGCGTGGACCAGGGCTCCGAGCTGAGACATGCCCCGCGGGGGACGCCCCGCTGCCCGGGCTGGCGTTGCTCTGGTTCTGTTTCTTTCGCACGGCGGGCACCGAGTTAGAGAGTTCTCCGTGTTAACAGCAAGGACGCAGCTCTAGGGCTTCCCCCCCTTTGGGGATAGAGCTGGGGGCAGGGATGGCCTGGGGTGTCCCTCTGATCACACAGCCGGGGGCTTGACCCCGAGGCAGGGTGGCTGGGGTGGTCCCACGCTCGGGGCGCAGCCGAGGTCCGCAGGGCTGGGCAGAGGCGGGTGGTAACGACCGGCTTCTTTCTCTTTCCTCGAACACGAGCTGTGCGTCCCAGAGGCCCCGCCGCACGTGGGAGGCGTGACCTGCCCGGCCGGGTGGCCGCTGCGCGGGGAGATCTGCTTCCAGGACTATCAGATGAGATACCGCGACAACACCCCCATCGTCCTCAAGGGCATCAGCCTGACCATCCGCGGCCAGGAGGTGGTGGGCATCGTGGGCCGGACCGGCTCCGGTGAGCGGCGCGTCCGGGCACCTCCTCCTCCACCTGGGCCTCGGGGCGGCCACCTGTTCTCAGCAGGGGTTCGCACAGGCACTCTCGCTGGGTTCGCTGACCTTCTCGTCATGCTGGGTCTGC